AATGATGTATTATAGAATTCTACACTCAAAATCTGTAAAATTTTACTAACCAATGTCACCCCAATATATTTAATTAAAAAAAAAAATCTACAGTTGCTTTGCAATGATGAGGCAAGTGCTGTGGACTTCTATCCATTTTCTTAATTTTTAAACAAGTCTATAGGACCAAATATTATGGTTTTTGTTTCAAAGAAGACATTGTCTCCTCAGCATCTTTCTTAGACAGTAGGCAGTTCTCACTGCTGCTTCTCTGAGGCCAGCCCAGTGAACTGTAATGAGACCAAAAGATCATTACTTTTCACGGTCCTGAAGCACTTATGAAACCATTACATGTAACATTGGAAAGAGGATGCAAAAACTAATTTTACTCTATAATGTTTAGTTTTAATTGTAAAATCCTAAGCTATTTTAGTGGTAAGTTGGGATCTCTTACACATCCAGACTTATTATCACGTTAAAAAGCAAAAGCACTGTACTTTCAAAGGTTTCAAAGATTGTTATGAGATAAAAATGCTGTCTGTCTTTCACTAAAATTGGAGAATTCGTTTCAGCTGGTCTAGCTACTTCCTCTGAGCGTGGGTGTCAGTGTTTGCGTGCCTATGTTTTTAGATGAATACAAATAAGAGTTTGTGTGTGTGTTTGATTGAACAGATCTCTATGTTTAGTGAATACAAACCTATGTTCAGCTGTAAATAGTTGGAGAGAGATGCTTGTTCTAGGAAGCATACCTATAAGTATATGCATGACTGGGGAGGTATATATCAAAGCACCTATGTGTGCATGACTTAGGTCTGATTTTAACAAGGGTGAGGCATCCACATAGCCTCTGCTTTTCTCTCTTCAAGAGCTGCTTTGAGTTTTTAAAGGACTGTTTTCATACAATGATGTATTCTTCCTTGTCTAAGTTACATCAGTTTTTCCTATTCTAAAAATCATATTTGGTTTCTGTAAAAGTCTTGGAAAATACAAAAAATATAAAAATTCAAATTATAGCATTCCTTCTTCATACGATCCCTTTTCTTTGCCTTTTTTTTAATGTCCTAACTTCTAGACTAGTTTTCTTTACATAACTCATTCTCTTCTTCTCTGTCCCTTCTTTCCACCTCCCCCATGATCTTCCCATGTTGTCAATATAGGTGTCTTCTCAAGAAGGTCACAGAGAGGAAATAGCAGTCAGGTGTTTGGAGCAAGTCATTGGCTCAGAGATTGAGCTGTAGCTTAGAAGTTTTTTTCTGACAATTGTATACTAGAGATAGACAAGTAGCATGCGAGGAAAATACAATACTATAATGTCCCACATGGAAACTTCATGTAAGAGAAATGTAATACCCAAGATGCTAAGCAGGCTCTTTTATATAAAATAAGTAGCATTTAGTCTAGATCAGTTATAGCAATAGTGTTCATTTATTGGACACATAGAGTGGCCCACGTGTTTTTTATGTAGTGTCATTCAAAATACTCAAAACAGCCTCATAAGATTGTTCTGTTTTCTTCTATCGATGAGGTAAATGAGGCTTATGAAGAACATTCCCATGGCATAAACAGCTTCCTAATCGATGATAGGCTGTGCGTTCACCCCCAGAGCTGACTCCAAATCCCCTACTCTTAACCACATTTTATGCTGCAATCCAAAATATATAAGAAGAGGACTTCATAAATTGACTGTAACATTGTGAAGAAAATACTAATTTTGGATCTAAAAAGGAACTGAAAGATCTCCTGTTTTAATTTCTTCAATCTGCAAAGGAGAAAAGCCAATGTTTTAAGGGGTCAGGTTGCCTAACATCACACAGCTAGTTAGTGGCAAATCTGGGGTTAGACCCCAAGCTCTCTTGTGTGTCTCTGCCATGGTGATCAGTGATCCCTTTAATGCACATTGGCTCCAGATCTCCACAGTGTCCACCATAAGCCTATCTATGTATTATCAGTAAATTCTCTTTTTATCTAGACTAAAATATGTCCCTGTCCCATGCCCTTTTCTGGCTGAGATTCATTCTGATTTCTGCTTAGTTTTCTGTGTGGGTTGGCAGGAAGTGGTAGATTGAACAAGTAAGACATAGACAGAATCCAAGTCTTCTTGGGTGTGTGTGTGTGTGTGTGTGTGTGTGTGTGTTTCTAGAGGACATTTTTGCAGCCTCCACCCTAAATAATTGGCATTACAGTAATACCTGCAGCATTTCCTGCTCAGGCATTCTCTACCTGGTTTGTACTTGCTGACCTGCTCAGAGAAGCACCTATGTGTCCAACACAACATGGTGTTGGTGAGACTAAAAGATGGAAACCTTCTTTTGGCAGAATACCTCAGATTCTATCCCGATGTACCTCAAGGATGAGTTTAGAGTGGAAACAAATGTACTGAGTGTTGTTCCATTTCTTTAATTCCATTTGGCATTTGTCGTGTTGAATATGTTAGGGGTATAAAATATCTCCTTAGAACAAGAGTTCTTTATGGCATCGTCTATCTGTAAAGCTCATGTAAGTACAACAGCACCTCTTGGGCCATTCTTCAAAATAACTAAATAATCGCATTGTTTCTCACAAGCTATTATCTTTCAAACATCCCTCCCACCCTTTTTTAACGCTGCAATAAAAAATGAAAACATATGCACACATAGGGAAGTAACATCTATGTTTGATTCAACTTTTGTTGTTATGACAAGGGTCACGCGAGCTGGTAAGCATAATCTTTCTCAGTAACAATGACTAGAAGGAGAAGCACATAATTGTCACATTTTAGGATAAAATCTCACAGATGTGGGATAAATAGACCCTGAAACTATCACATCTCAAACATCAGCTCTGTACTGGTCCCATTTTATAAAGTTTACATTCATTATCTTAATTAAACCACTCAAATTACTAGAAATTAGATAGTCATTGTCATCTGTTTAGCAAATAAATAAACGAGGTTTAGAAAAGTTCATTTTCCTCAGGTTCAGGCAATGAAAATAATAGAGTGAGTTTTAGATATCAGATTTGTCTATCATTAAAATCTATTCTTTTTTCACTAAACTATTGCCTTCCAAGTTAAACTAAATCCAGTAAGAATGACTGAAATATCTTTAAAATATAAGAGATTATAGGAAAAAATTCTCTAAGATACTTGGGGTTATTCCAGGAAATGTATAGTTCTTCCAAATGGGGGATAATTGGATATATTTCCCTCCAATAATTAAATAAGCACCATTTAAAATGAGCACAATGTATGCAAACATCTGCTGCAGAATTAGTTTCCGAAAGAGCTTAAAATAGCTTCTCACATTTTTAGAGTAGATCCTACCTCATGCTCTTGTTCACCTTATTGATGCAATTAGCTAACAGCTTTTGTAAAATATAATATTCAGGGAAGTAAAGATCAATATATGTTGTACTAATGACAAATTATGTTTAACTAATAAAATTCAACAAAACTTTTTATGATCAACAACGCCACTTTGGCCTGTGTACCCAACCTGAATCTCAGTGGTAAGGACCTGCTTACATGGCAGCCCCAAATCTGTCCTATTGCGAAGGTGCTGAATTTAAAATATCGGTACTTTGAGTGTGACATGTGTGTGTGTGTGTGTGTGTGTGTGTTTAAATGTGTGTAGAATGGTGATCGACATATTTTTAAATGGCAGAAATGTTAATATGAAAATTGCTTTCCTCTATTTTATAATGGATTACAATGGTAGATATGCTAAAACAAACAAACAAACAAACAAACAAAAAACTAGTAAAAAGATAAAGCCACGCTCAAATTCAAGGCATCTTCATGAACAAGAAAGAAAATGGAAACATGAAAACACAAACACAGTCTGAAACCCTGTATTGATGATTCTGGTGTCAATGTCCACCAGAAGACATATAAAAGAATGTGCTTAGCAGTTTCGTTTATCTTGGCAAAAACAGGAAAATACCTAACTGCCCATCAACAGTAGGATAGTTAAACAAATTGTATTCTATTTAGTCAATAAAATATTATACAGCAATGAAATATTATACTGCTAGAAAAGAGAATCCAAGAAAAAGTAGTGCAAAATGATTAAGAAAAGATATTGAAATGAGTCAAGACAAGACAACGATATCATATTTTAAAATGGAAATAAATATCGCAAGACACAGCTAGAAGGGATAAATAGAACTGCGTGAAGGAATAAAGGATAGAAAGGGAAGCAGGTAATTATAATTTTTTTTTTT